GATCCTAGCAATCTCGATCGCTGGAATCGCTCATATTCTATCTCGGCGATCGAGGTTGCTAGGATCGCCAGGATCGCTGGAGAGTGTTTCCATATGATCGCTACGATTGTTGAGTCACATTTTCGGCGATCGTTGCGATCCTAGCGATTGTAACGATTATATGGAAACCAGGCTTAACAGACACCTTCGGAATTTATCTAAGTGTCCGTTGTAACCGAGTGTCCGTTATATTGAGGTTTCTGCAAGGCAATAGTCAACAGCACAATAAATTGCCTGAAGAGAAGTACATACCTAAAACCAAGCATGTCCTTTAATCCTTTTGATTTGAGTTCTTGAAAAATATTCGATGTATGTCCAACCCGAGAGAGGATGATTTCCAGACAGAGAGTCTTAAAACTTCCATGCACCGTTGGTAGAATAAACAGAATACGATTCATGAACCTTGTATTTGAAAAACAAAAAAAAAATTCCAGCATTAATAGATTTTTTTACCAATTTGGAGACCAGGTTTCTGTTCATTTTCAATAGTACACAGGGGATACTTGTCGGATCTCTTAGGGGTAAAAATTCGTGATTGGGAATCTTTTAGGGTGGCAATTTGTAGTTTCCAAGACTTACTTATCTACAATTGGTGGAAAGTGGAGCTGTAGCTTGTGTACACAAGTTATGTACTTGGTTGTGTCGACTGCGTTGGATGTAACAAACGATTGTAGCTTGGATGATACCATATCCTCTAACGGACTGTCTGCCAACTGATCATTTTATACAGTTTATCGAAAGAAATTATCAGGAAATACTTAAAGTCCTGTCTTCAAACTTTTATGTGGCAACTTTTGGAGGCAACATTTTACTGCTCGTGTAGATAATGAAAGTTGATAAACTCAGTATATAAATCAACCGAATTTGTTGAAAAGATGAAGTGATAAAAACCAATATACATATTCCAAGAAAATAATCATCAACACGAAAAAATGAAAATTGACACATTTAGTTGCCAAATGATAATTGCTTATGCACGAAGGTTAAATATATCAAAAAAAAGATCTTTAAATAACACTATACCTTTCCATTATTTGCAAGTTGCTTCAGCATCATTCCGATAACCTCTGCAGCAGCGGCATGCACTTCTTTGTATTTAAACGACAGATTGTTGATGAGCTTCGCGTAGAAACTGAAAAATGGTTGCAAACATCAAAGTTTTATATTTATTCTTTGAAATAGAATAAAAATGAGGGTTCTGGACCGTTTCCAGCCCCTACAAAAATGGTGACTTTCCTGAAGAAACCATAATCTACCAAACTGCCAAAACCAAAACCCTCAAATTTCAATACTTTAAATAAAATATACCTTTTTTCATCCGTATAGTGACTTGATTGAAATGGTGACAAGTTATTAGCCAAGACCACGCCAAGCAATTGAATTCCTGTAGCATTGTCATTCTTGGAAGGATCTTCGCCAGAAAAACCTTCTTGGATGACACTGTAAATGATTACAAAAGTTCAAAGAAATACCGGTAAGTAGTATACTTAACACGATTCTATYAAATGATGTTCTTACCTTGTAGGAACTTCAATCCTGTCTTTCCAGACTTCTACCATRGTTTTYACAATTTCCAGATTGTTTCTGAACACTGCTCGATTTTCATGTTGTGTTCTGGTCATGACAGTTTTCAGAAGACCACTTGTTAAGTAACGAGCACTATCAGTATTCTGATGAMAACAGCAAAAAGGAAACAAAGCCTGCTTAYCATMATTGAAAGACATAAGCAACATTTTAAATTAATAAATAGAGGATATTACATGGGCGCGCGGAGATACGGATTTTATCTTCGAGTGGGAGATTTTGAACACAAGAAGATAATATTCGTATCTCCAAGCGACCATGTAATATTTAGTTTATTATATAATTGCATAAGATAGCAAATCATGTCGTTAAATGATATCAAACTGTTAATAACTCACCTCAGGTATGGCTGTGCTTGACCAAAACAGTAACGTAACAAGGACATCAACAATA